GTTAGGTGGATGGTTATGGATATGTAAATGATGATGATGATGATGATGATGAAATTGCTCCTGATGCTAAGGTTTCGTTTTTCAGCGTTTTGTGGTCCCCCTGTAAAATGTTTGAAAAGTGACAACAGCGGGGGCCGGCTCAGATGCCCGGCACCAAGTTTTTGTTTCCTAAATATATCTACTATCCCAATATTTAGCCCAACTAATATTCCAACTAATAGTCTCTAAATACCCACATTTCAAAAATCCAACCAAGTCCAAATATTGCCATGATTTATAGTTATGAATAGGTACAGTAACCAGTAGTTATATTGCCATGATTTATAGTCTGGTAAACTAACATGACTATGGAAAATCACCATGTTTAATGAGTAAATCAACTATTTCGACTGGGCCATTTTCAATAGCTATGTAACAAATTTCCAGAGGGTAGCCATCATTAATCTATCATTAATCCCCCAACGGGACATTGACCAACCCTGGTGAAATAGAAGATACAACCATGGCAGCCATTTTGGCAATAGTAACCATTATATATAGTTGTTGATACTTGATAGTTACTAGATGTTAATAGTTATTTCGTGGTTTATCCCATTAACAGTCACCATTAATGTCAACCCTGGATTAATAAACCCCAAACGGCTGTTTAATTGGGAGGGTACCATAAAAAAAGTACCAAATCATGACTATTGGGGGAATACCCCCTAATTTTCATAAACCATAGTTGAGCAAAATCCGGGGTTGACATTAGTTATGCAAACTTATCCCAAAATGTGAGGCCCCCAAGATAGCTAAGTTGGTTTATAACTACAATAACTATTGTTTGGTTGGTATTTATAACTATAGTATTCCTGGGGCGAATCTAAACCAACAAACACCACTGGGGGGCTCCACATTGCATGAATAGTGACCATTATATAGTAACCATGATATAGTTGTTGATACTTGATAGTTAATAGATGTTAATAGTTATATTGTTATATCGTGGTTTATCACATGAACAGTCACCATTAGTTATGCCAACTTATCCCATGAATAGTGACCATTATGGTTGTTTCCCTCCCCTGGGAAGATCCGCCATGGCCAGGACCCTCCTCCGGCGCCTGGCGCGCGACAGCCACGATGTCTGCACCCGACTCCTGGCGGCCAATGGGGTGCCGCCGGCCGCGGAGGTGGGGCCCGGTGGGGTTCCAACGGGGCAGTGGTCAAAACCTGCAAAAAAAATGCGAAAAAATGATGGTTCAACGAGGAAAATCTATGGAAACCATAGGAAAATAATGATTTCTATAGCTTGTATAGCTGATTTATTTTGATTTATGATGGCGAAGTTTGTTTCTAACTAAGTTAACTATGGTTTAAGGTAGATACTGATTGGTGGTTTGGACCATGTTTGATTTTTCCATGTGTTGGGAATAATAATCCCAACTGACTTTCATTTTTTTAGAGGGGTGGAAACCACCAAGTATATATATATATATAGATATATCAAACCAGCTCGACTAGCTCGTGGGTTTATAAACCCAGGCCGATGCCCCGGTGTTGCTGACGCTCCAACTGCTGACCCAGCTGGCCCTGCGCCGCGCCGCGCGCGCGTCGTTGCGCGGCTGCGCGGCGGTGAAGTGCAAGGCGCTAGAAGCCTTGAGGCTGAAGGAGCTGCCGAAAAAACCCTGGGGGTTGGAGAGGATTCTTAGGGTTAGAGAATGGAAAATGATAAGTTAATCAGTGAAAATGGTGGATTTTTACGAAATATATTTGAACAAACATGATTTATGGAAGATTAATCACCCAAAACATGTGTTTTGTGACGTTCACAGCTATGAAATATGGTGATTTAGGCAGATTTTACCAGCAAGAAAAGTTGTTTGATTCCATTATGATTTATTGTGGTTTACCCGGGGTTAAATGTACTGTTTTGGTGATTTTGATCATCACTTGAAAAAGTATTTGTTGCAGATTATATCCCCAATATTTCAGCGACAAGCATGACATTTACCAACCCCTGTTATCAACGAAAAATTGTGATTTCACATATTCTAACATGATTTAACCAAGTAAAACGGGGAATTGAGAAGATGTTTTTGTTACTGCAAGGTGGTGCCCCGGTTCCTCAGCCAAGTTGGTTTATAGGCCTTACCAACTCTCTTGTAAACGGAGGGCGCCACCTTGTAGTCGGATTGCACTTACAAAAACGGGAGAAGTGTTTCCAGCATGTTAGTTCGATGATGTTTCCTCATCATTTCCAGGAGCAATGAAGTTGAGATACAAAGGGGTGGCAACTATTGGATATACCTTCTGGTTATTTAACAGTTTGTTTATGGACAATCACAATGTTCAAACTATCATCATTTGTATCATCTAATTCTATTGGCTATTTATACCATTGCAAACTGTTAAATAACTAGAGGGTATCTAAGTTGGGATATTTCAGTTGGTTTAAAGCAGATTTCAGGATTGAACCTCGTTTTGCTAGCAAGTTGGAACATAATTTCTTTTAAAGAACTGGGAAGAGCGGGGTTTTGTACGCATGCATTGGTAATATAAAGTTAGTAATTTAACTGCACTCATGATAAACATGGATAACATGTGTATATATATATATATCTACCTATCTATACACAAAAACATATGACATTAAATATTCTGCATGTAGGTTAATTAATAGATTTTATATAACATATGGCATTCTGTATGAGGAACAAAACGATCAGCTGAAACTGTAGGAGCTGGACATGGAATCTGAGTTTCGTGATGCCCTGACGGCCTGTGGCGAAGCTGCAAAGGTGAGTAAAGAGTAACACAAAAATTGCTTTTAAAGGGTGGTACTGTGTTGGATCCACTTAAATTGAATCCACAACTATGTAATTATTACAAGTCCATTCAGAAAAAACGAGATTGAAATTATTTGACTACGGGCATTCAATCGCATTCCGCTATGTTTCGATCGAAAAATCATCTTCAGGAAACCATTTTTGCGTCTCATGTTTAAATATATAAGTTAGGGGATTGAAACCAGCACTTTGTGAGTTGTACAACGTTCTCCGCGAACATAAGATTTTCCAGGGCTCTTTCGACAAGAATAAGGTATCTATCAACCAGTTTTCCAGTTGGTAAAGCTTAGAAAATGATGTAAATGGCAGACATGTTGCTTGTACAAACATCGGGAGCTGAGCATTTAAGATGGCATGATCACAATCAATGATGGGTTGACCCAATTGAATGGTCTGAACTCTGACCAACAATGCATGTATCAAGCAGCAGAGCGTGTTTTCAGCGGTAGAGCTCCTAAACTTATTCCCATGGGAAGATATGGGAAGCCATGCTGATCCTACCAGGCTTCCCCATGATGTTATCTATGTATTCGTAGCTGCAACTCTAAGTTGTGCAAATGTGCGTTTGGGTTGGAAAAATATGTTTGCTCATGAAGCACCTGCAAAACCATGTGTTAGATTCCATCTCTATGCCTCTGAATTCATTCATATCTTGGAAGCTATGATTTTTTTTTGCGGTAACTATGTTCATGGATCCAAGACTTAGACAATCTCAGATGGAGTCAGTTTGCTGCCTATAGTAAGTGGACAGAAACCATTTGAAAGCGCCCTCTCACCCGGAAAGGATGAAAAACAATGTCGATTGATCTTTGATTGATTTGCAGCATGAATGGCATGATTGTTGCTGCGGCCATTATTAGCTCATGTTAACTCCAAATATATATATATATAACCTACTATGGATGAACTACAACTAATAATAATTGAATTATAGCCTAGCATTCATCAATCAACTACTGGTTGGTGGTTTGGAACATGAATTTTATTTTTCCATATATTGGGAATGTCATCATCCCAACTGACGAAGTCATATTTTTCAGAGGGGTAGGGCTCAACCACCAACCAGTCATTGTTCTTCATGAAAATTCCATACAATCAACTATTAATGGGCTTATAATTCAACTATTATGGGGTTATTATATCAGTTCAACTATAAAAAACCCCCCAAAATAATTCCCATAATAATAGTTGGTTGAATTATAACAACCATTATGGGGTTATTATATCAGTTCAACAACATAATTCAACTATTAATGGTTAAAACCTCCCATCATGGGGTTGTTTGAATTCCCACCCCCACCTGGAGCCCCAGGTTCCTGCTGCCTCTGGAGCCGCTTGGCCGCCGACGGCCCCGCCGCCGCGCAGCAGCTCTGCGACGTCGCCGAGGGCGCCGAGGACGAGGCGGTGCCGGAGGTCTTGGAGCTGCTACTGGAGCAGCTGGAGGCGCGGAGAAACCAAGGCATTTCACCCGGCAATGGTGACTAGGTTATCATATATGATTATATACATATATATATATATATATGTGTGTGTGTGGTTATATGGTTACTAGATATGAACACTATGAACACCACCACTAACATTCATTAACCATTGACCAAACTGGTGCGTTTTACGTAGGGTTGCTGGATGGGTTGCTGGGGGTTGCTGGGATGATGACATCACCTGTGACTAAATGGATCATTCCCGAAAATTCCCTACGTTTAGCACCAGTAAGAATTTGACGTGAAAAAAAATGTTTTTTTTCCGTTTTCCCACATGACATGTTGGTGTTATGTGGATTTGCACTGTAAAATATGGGGAGTTGGAGGTGATTTCATGGGAAATTAGGTTGGTGGATGATTTGCTGGGGTTTTGTTTATCTATGCCTATGCAAACTGAGTTTTTTCCAAGGAAGCACCAAAACACCAACAGAACCTGTGTAAACCTTGGATGTTCATACCAATAATCCAGGAAAGTTCCAACAAAGACAATATGATAAATATGTATATATATATAATTATATTTATTTACATTTATTTGTTTATTTATTTGTGTGCTGATGTAATCTTCCAGTGACTAGGAAATTGTTTTGTTTTTTGTTGCCCATTTGGTCATGGAACCAACACATATCAACAATGCACCTTGTTTTATGCAGGAATGTCACTTAATGTGGTGACAATTTCTTCGAATGACACGAAAGGGGTCCACAAGGAACTTGTTTTTGGAGATTTCAGATAGATGGAGGGTCCAAGTAACTATAGGCTTGAGCGTTTTTCGCTGCAAAAAGTACTGCAGTTTTCACCAGTTGAGGATTGATGAAACTGGATGGTCTCTTCCGGCCCCCATTCGATTGGAGACCCATATGTCGTTTGTCTGAAAATAGGATGCCCCAAATCCAATGATGCATTATGATTGTCCCAATTGAATGGACATTGGCAGTGTATACCACATTTTCAGACATGACCATCAACCATACGTGGATTTGTTTGCCATTTGATAATGTAGAATGTGAATGGCCAAATTTCCAACAAACATCAGTTCTGAAATTTGAAATGATAAGAACACATGATAAATCAATGGATGATATCAAGGAACATTTGAAATAATGTCAATGGTTACCCTCTGGTAATTTAACATAGCTATTGAAAATGGACATTTATAGTGAGTTTTCCCATTAATAATGGTGATTTTCCATAGTTATGGTAGTTTAACAGAGGGTATATTCCAATATCCAACTGTTGTTGGCTTCACCGCATGGATATCTGGTTGGTGGTATACCTACCCCTCTGAAAATTGATGGACTTCGTCAGTTGGGATGATGAAATTCCCAACTGAATGGAAAAACTGTTCCAAACCACCAACCAAATAATAGTTGGACTATAGTTGGTTTTATTATGGTTATTCCAATATCAGGGCTGCATCGAGGTGTCAGCTGATCCATCACTTCATGCATGGCGTTGCTGGGCTGGTGAAGTCCTGATGTACAAATTGGGGCCCGGCAGTTTCCTTTCTTGGGTTTAGATAGATAGGTAGGTAGATGGATAGATGGATAGATAGACTAGATAGGCTAGATAGGCTAGATAGGCTAGATAGGCTAGATAGGATAGATAGGATAGATAGATAGATAGATATAGATATATAGATATAGATATTTAGATACCACATCTTCCCACCCCGTGTTCTTTTGGCTAAATCCCATATGGGAAGTCGTGCTAGTCGAGGCTAACCCACCAACCTCCCCTGAAAACCTAGAGAACCTCCGACTCCTGTGGGATATGAAATGGTATAAACCGCTTCAGAACCCACTGGCTGTATGCAGTGGTTCGACAGAAAAAGTAACAATGGGTATGGCTATGGACAGTACACTGCTTTGGATGAGAGATAGATATAGATAGATATAGATAGATATAGATAGATATAGATAGATATAGATAGATATAGATAGATACAGATAAACATAGATATAGATATGGATAGATATAGATAGATACAGAAAGACATAGATTTAGATAGATATAGAAAGATATAGATAGAGATAGATCGATCGATAGATATAGATATAGATATGGACGGATATAGATAGATACATATAGACATAGATTTAGATAGATATAGACGGATATAGAAAGATATAGACGGATAGATACAGATAGATATAGATATGCATAGATATAGATAGATATAGATATGGATAGATATAGATAGATATAGATATGGATAGATATAGACAGCTAGATAGATAGATAGATAGATAGATAGATAGTTAGATAGATAGACAGTTAGATAGAAATTTATGTATATATATATATATATGGATAGATATAGATAGATACAGCTAGACATAGATATGGATATATATATATATATATACATACATTTTTATATAGATATAGATAGACATAGATATTAGATATGGATAGATATAGATAGATACAGGTAGAATATATATATATATAGATAGATAGATAAATAGATAGATAGATAGATAGATTAGATAGATAGATAGATAGATGGATGGATAGATAGATAGATAGATAGGTAGTTAGATAGATAGATAGATAGATATAGATATAGATAGATACATATAGACATAGATAAAGATAGATACAGATATGGGTAGATATAGATAGATAGATAGATAGATCGATAGATAAATCAATAGATCGATTAGAATACATTAGATTAGATAGATGGATAGATAAATTAGAATAGATTAGATAGATAGATAGATATATAGATTAGTTCAGATACATAGACAGACAGATAGATAGATAGATAGATATAGTTGGATAGATGGATAGATAGATATAGATAGATAGATATAGATAGATAGATCGATACAAATATTGATGGATAGATAGATAGATAGATAGATATAGATAGATATAGATAGATATAGATAGATGGATAGATGGATAGATGGATAGATGGATAGATGGATAGATGGATAGATGGATAGACAGATAGATAGATAGATAGACAGATAGATAGATCGATGCAAATATTGATGGATAGATAGATAGATAGATAAATAGATAGATAGATAGACAGACAGATAATAGATAGATTAGAATAGATTAGAATAGATTAGAAAAGATTAGAATAGATTAGAATAGATTAGATTAGATAGATGGAACGATATATAGATTAGATTAGATAGATAGATAAATAGATAAATAAATATATAGATTAGTTGAGATAGATTAGATTAGATAGAGAAATAGATAGATTAGAATAGATTAGAATAGATTAGAACAGATTAGAATAGATTAGAATATATTAGATTAGATAGATGGAACGATAAATATATAGATTAGTTTAGATAGATAGATAAATAGATAAATAAATATATAGATTAGTTGAGATAGATTAGAATAGATTAGATAGATAGATAGATAGACAGATAGATAGATAGATAGATTGATTGATAGATCGATCGATAGATAGATAGATAGTTAGATAGATAGATAGATATATAGATTAGATTAGATTAGATTAGATTAGGATAGATAGACAGATAGATAGATATAAACCTCTTCAACTGTAGATGTACTCACCATAAACATCCATGAGCACAATATAAGAACGCTTCCAAGAGCAGCGAAACCAAATTAACCATTGAGTTGTTGAAATCACAGAGCCAAGTTGCCTATGATGGGGGCCCCCGCATGGTACGGTTTTTAAGTGAGAAATGAAAGTGGCGTGTTTTGGCCATAATGTCTCACATGTTTTACTATTTCGCTTGGCAGATTGATTTCAAGGTTTCCTATATATTACAGTTATGGCCATTTACCAGTTATAAGTACTGAAATAACCCCATTCATAGCATGTATAATCCCATTTATAACCAGTCGTAACTAATAAATGGCCAAAACTGTAATGGCCCTTTTCGCATCCCTAATAGGGTTTTCCATATGTTTCCAATCCCAAAGCGCAGAAACCTCCATCCGTCATACATTCCCTATATGTTCCCATCATGTTCCCATCGTTTTCCATAGTTCCACGGAGTGTATCAACCAACTAACATCCCTTTGTTGCCCAAGGTTTCCTGATTCACTAGATCTTTCCATCATTTTCCATAGTTAAATGGGTATAATTATGCTCAATGTTCCCATCATTTTCCCATAATCCATAACAGTCCCATTATTTTCCCCTCATTTTCTCATCATTTTCCAAAGGTTTCCTCACGGTGCAAAACCTCCTTTGCGGTTCCTCCGCCGACGCCAAAGTGCGCCGGCAGCAGCTGTTGCAGCGCGGCCTGCTGCGCCACATGGCCGTGGCCGCGGCGCACAGCATGGCCTCGACGCAGAGTTTGGCGGCGCAAGAAACGGCGCAGAGGATGCAGTTGGATCCTTGGAAAAAGGCTGGGAAAATGACGGGAAAATGGTGAAAATCATGGAACAATGGGGAAACGGGAAACCATGTGTAAAAGTGTGGGAAAGATGTAGAGAAATTTGGAAAATAAAACATTTGGAAAAAATGTGAGAACATGGGGGCATTATACCAGGGGGACCTTTACTACAGGTAGAACATGCGGATTTTGGATGATTTTGGCCAACGAAAAAGGGATGGTTTTAGGAACTAAGACGGACGTTTCGTCAGGAGAATGGTTGGCTTCTGTTGGGTTGGATGCTTAACAAGAGACGGATAGAAAATGGCGCATTTTGTTTCCAGTAAAAAAATGGTCGGACACACCAGAAAACTCATTTAGAATATATTTTAGAACCCCACAAAAAATTAACTTATCTGTTTGTGGGTGGTTTTCAAGTTTCATTCCCGGGTCTGATCTTATGAAATTGGGCATGACCTCACCAAATTGATGGGTTCAATCAGAACATTGAGGTTTGGAAGCGAAGGCGAATGGTGAGCAATACACCTAAAAAACTGGGGGCTTGCAACAAAAATGGATTTATGTATGTTTATGCAACCAATTCATGTGGAAATGTGCGCAAACAAATATAAACAGCGAGGCCTATGGGAGAAAAGGCTTGACGGGGCAGGACTTTCCATGCAGCGAGGATGCTTCTGAGACAACAAAAACCTTCTTATCCGGGGCAGGAACTTGAGATTCTGGAACTTCCGGAAGTTCATTTTCCTGATCTATTCAGGGTAAGCGACACCTCGGTAATGCTAAGCGGCTCGCCCACCTGCTGTATTTTTTTGCAGCATGAGATGTGACACTACAGCAACGGTCTCAGCTGAGACTGGATTTGAGAATGCTCAGCCATCATTTTCATTTATTTTCACCAGATTCCGAATCGAGGTTTCCAAAGTTCGCCCCAATCCTTTAGTAGGGTTTCTTAGCTCGCTAGCGAGCACACGTGGCACTTTGTGGCAGTCTTGAGGCCCCAAAATGCTGGAATACATTGGAATACAATATCACTGGTTGGTGGTTTCAAACATGAATCTCATTTTCCATTTCATATATGGGATATATATACTGTATATATATATAATCCTTCCCATTGACTCATATTTTTCAAGATGGGTAAAACCACCAAGCACTCGGCAAACGTCCGCGCCATCTAAGGAGACAATCTTGATGATTTGTCCTTCAGCTGCATGGGGAGTGCAGGTCCCTGGTGCTCCCTGAAATTAGAATCAGACCCTCCAACGCTTGGAAGCCCAAATGAAGAGATTCGAAAACATTGTTTTTGTAGTGTGGTTTCTTTATTATAGAGGGGACAGAGGGTTCTAATATTGGTCATCAATGCCGTGGTGATATTGTGGGAGATTAGTGACCAGCTGGAAATGATGGTACGAGTGAAGATTATGTTTGTTCTTGACCCCCCAAAAAGCGGCTCACATCCCGAAAGTGGTTCAAAATATGTTTTTAAAATAAGAAACACCATGTGTAGGAGTAAAAGTAGTGGTTTCCTGATGTGTCCTGTATTCTTTTCTCAGGACCAATGCATCAATGCCCCTATTCAAAGTGCTACTGCTTCTGCGCAGAGACCTCATTTCTTGCTAAACTCAAAGATGCCAATATCTCCAAAAGAAGTAGAACCAACATAGACCAATCATATATCATATGATATTTCTGTTGGTTAACCCTCATGAAACCCCTTTCTCTTGGTGGCTTCACACACTCCTCCAGCCATCGCTGGTGGTTCTCGTCCAGGTCTACATACCTTGGGCAGTTGCTGCGATCCCAACGACCAGGACTTGCTGCCAGAGGAGGTGCCAGCTGCGACCTTTGGTGCGAGTTCTGGTTCACCAGAAATCTGAAGTGGTTACAGTCATGGCTGCCATGGCTCGAAATACCAGCTATAAGTACTGAACTAGGCCCTTTTATAGAATGTATACTGTAATCTCATAGAAATAACCAGTTATATCCAATAAATGGCCATAAGTGTGAAATGGTTAGGAACTGGGCTGGGTCTGGTTTTCCATTGGGCTATTCCTATAGTGAATTTTACTTAATGACTTAAGGACCTCAATCTACTGGTTGGTGGTTTCAATCATTTATTATTTTCCATAATATATGGGATAATCCTTCCCATTGACTAATATTTTTCAAGATGGTTAAAACCACCAACCAGTCTAACCATGTGCTGGGTATATAACCCATTTTTGAAACATCAATGGCAGAATCCATCGGTTCATCGGGGCCGAATCCGCTGGCCACACCGAATCTGGGAACTACTTGGGTGTGTTGGTGTTATTTTTGCAACCACGGCACTACCACCATCAGTTAGGATATAGGGCTCCCACAACTGCTTGTATAACCATCTTAAAAGTGGAACTTCACCTGCAAGTGAGCGCATCCATCATTTTTTTCATGGTCAAAATAGGGAATTCATCCACAACATTGATTTCTTCATCAGAAGACTGGGATTCCACAAGCAGGTATGAGGATCTTTGCAAAAGAAGTTGGCTTAGTTGGCTTCTGGAGATCAGTTGTGCGGCCTGGCGGCCATGGATCATCACCTGAACATGTTTGGAACAGGAAGATTAAGTACCATAGGGCCTTCAAGAGGGTGATTTTCCTTGATTGGTGAAAAATGTACTGGTGTTTGGCGACCGCCATGTTCGCCAAAGTTTGGCGAGATTCAACTTTCATTAAATCCAAAAAAAGCATCGTACACACTTTCCCCAGAATCATATTTTATTTTTTTAAGATTTAAGATGGGTATCATAAATAACCTATTAGAAACTATATCCCATTTCCCCATTAAGTCGTGATTTTCCCCAGAATTTATCATGAAATCATATGAAATCAGAAACATCGACGGAGCCAGGTGCTCTCCATGCTGATCAGCGGCCTGGGTACCGGCTGGGCTTTGGAAGTCAGGGAGATCCTTGGCCGGGGTTCACTGTGGGGATCTGGCGATCACATTGGGGTTTTAACATGTTTTGCCCTCTGGTAAACATACAAAAAGCTATTGAAAATGGCCATGTATAGTTGATTTTCCCATTAAAAATGGTGATTTTCCATAGTTATGTTAGTTTACCAGAGGGTATCCATGGCGATTCACTTTCCTTAAATCATGTTTCAATATGTTTTGACCATTAGGAAACTTATGGGGCTATATGAATATTTGATAGCTAAGTCAGACCATTTATTGCTATTTTGATAGGGACAGGTTGCAAAAACCATACACCAGAACCAAGCATTTGGCGAGGATTTAACAAGATATGGTGGTATGCCGTATGCCTATATAATGGGACATAGAAGCTTAAACAAATAGACTTTAAACATTAAAACTGCCATGAAATATTGCTGTGATATTTTAGCCCTATCCCGTGGTAATTAGAGGGAGAGAATGAGCTTTGGATGTCCATATTCCCTATTAAATGGAAGGCCAGGGAGTTACTAAGAGCTTCCCGACCAGATGATATATAGCTACCGTTTGGTTCCTTGCAAGATCTTGCATTTTTTCGGCCGGAGATATACTGTGGCTGCACCCCCTGCTTAGCTAAGTTGGTTGAAATAAGTCGGTGAACTGTTGGGTTTCTGATAGCTTGCTGGGTGAAGGCAGGCTCACGGATAGCTGCGCGTACCACCATGCAAATCCCAACATTCTTACCCTCCGGTGTCATCAAAGGTGGCCAAATGGGAACATTGTCATTTAGGTGGATTTTCCCAGCTATAAACCTCCATTGATAGTCATCTGATGGTGGGTGTTCCCATATTTTCTTCCCATGTTTCCCAAGGATTTTCTTTGATGTTTCACAAAACCTCCATATTTTTCATGGGATTTGGCAGCTTGCGAAGCTGATGATTAAACTCGGGTAGCTCCTCTCCTCGTTTCGCCTAGGCGGGCATGTTTCCTCCTGTGCTACTTGGCAAACTCCAATCAGAAGGTCAAAGATACCTTGCTGGCAGGCACCAGCGACGATGCGGGGACGGTTCACCCGCGAACATTGTGGGAGTGATGCAAACATCGCAAATGATGGGCAAAGCTTGCTGAATTGGAAGGTCAATCAACTAAAGTAACATAAAGTATCTATAGTTTACCGTTTGGGACTCAAAGATGGGAATGGACAATTCCCTTTTTATAGATTGTTGTTTTCATTACAACCTCCTAACAGGGGAATTCCCTGTTGCCATGGATTGCTGGGGCCCGTGATCCCATATCTTGTTCGAATTTGGTCGACCTGGTGGATACATCGAACTCGTGCCAAACGAACGGCAAATGGGTTAAAATCAGATTGCCCTTTGGTAACTGAACGGGAAATGCGATGGAGAATCATTGTCTTCATGGGTTTTTCTCAGCATAAATCATCGGACTAATTGAGTCATTTATACCGTATTATACCATAGCTATGTAACTTAAGATATCTAACAAGTAACCAGAGGGTACCCAAAAGTCATCAAAAATTTCCCCGCTTTTTTAACCTCCATTGATATCTGATAGATTGGTTCCCCTAACCGGCTAACCTGGATGGTCACCTGGGGCCACCAGGAGGTGCTTCACTGTGGAAGTCGCTGTTGGAGGTCTTAAAGGCCCAGCGTTTCAGTGCGGACGGTGTTGAGCCCAACGGAAAAAAACAGAGGGGCTGCTTGAGGTAACCGTGACCAATATTATAGTCCAATATTATAGTCACTTGACCAATAATATGTCTATAATATAGTTCATATGTCTATAATGTTCTATAATATAGTCCAACTATCACAATATTAGTTGGACAAAATTATAGTTTGTACATATGTCTATATTATAGTCCAAGCATCACCATAATATTAGGTATTATGGTGATTATATATGTGATTATGGGGCAAATAATTCTGAAATGAGAATGCTATATATAACTGACTTAATTTGGGGACTGCTTTGGCAAATAAAAAACACAGGGAAGGCAATGCACCAACCATCAAGATTCCCATGGAATTTACATGGTTTGTAGATGCGGTATCATGCGAGTATAAATCCCAAACCCACCAGTCAGACACCCAGCAAAAAGCAGTACTCCAAGTCACTAGTTTCACTATAATTCACTGTGTTTCACCCTGGTGTTTCACCAGGTTTGTCATTTTTGTTGCCAGACACCTCGTGGTTTCAGCCCGACCAGCAGGATCACTTGGCGTCGGAGGTCGACGGGAATGATGGGAGCGAGGATGAGGAGCTATCTACATATATCTACATGATCTACATGTGAAAAATGCATGAGAAACACCCAAATTTGACCCTATATCTAGACAAAACCATATTTGGTCCCATTTTTTCTTTGCATATATGAATTGGATATGCGTGCGTGTAAATAAGACACATCAGTCTGTGGCAACGGGTTAGTTGTCAGTCAATGATGGAAAGTAAGTAGTCGTTTCAGTCAGCACTTGTTCCAAAAAAAAGTCCCCGTGAAATCTTCAATCTTCAATCCAAGGTCGGTTGAATGTTTGTCCGCAGAATCCTATGGTTGTCAGTACGATCCAGATGATTGCTGGGATTCTGCTTATTTGAAGTGAGTTTTGTCAAATTTAAAATGTCCACGTCCTTCAGCTCCCCAAAACAAATTAATTACTTGAACTCCGTAAGGTTCATCACCTTTTCCACATGTTTGTCACTCAAGCTCTACCATATGCCCATGTTGCCTTTTTTAGTAAACCTGCTTAAACCATCATGTTTCCATCATTCCCAGCATTTTTCCCAGCTGTTTCCACCACTTCCGGCTCCATTTGAGCCCGGGGCTACCGTCGTCAGGAGATCCTGCTGGAGCTCAACCTGCCCGACGGTTCCGGTGGAAGCGACTCGTTGAGCGCGCCGCTGAGGGCCATGCAGCTGAGGGAAGCGGAGCTGCTGCTGGAAGCTATGCAGGTGGGAATTGGCGCAGATTTCCGCTGGGAAATAGATAGAAAATATATGTGATATCATACGTTAGATAAATGGATACTGGATATATATATATATATATATACATTTTATATAATTAACATATGATTATATATTAATATATATATATATCTTTTTGACTTCAAAAGGATTTGGGGATAGTATGGACATCTTATTGGGATAACATTTTATAACATACTTGGATGGGCCATGAAACACTAGTCGGACGCCTTGCCAGGCGCTTCCGTTTGAAGCTCGAGTGCAAGTCACTTGGCGCCAGCATTTCAGGACCATTTGTGAAGGTTAAAGGCCCCAACTTGCCATTTCTGTTGGTTAAAAACATGCTTATAACTACAGGTGAACCGGTGAACTCCACATTGTTTGGAATTACTTGGGGAACAAACAAATCCAAGTTTCTTTCGGTCTAACATGTTTTTCTCCATAAATCGCCATGGTGTTTAAGACTCCCAATCACCACAAAGATGCTGATAAGTGAGATGACACCATGGGTTACTGATAAAAGGGTCAATGATCTAGGCAGAATGACATGCCGCCCCTCGGCCAATCAGTATACCCTTTTGATGAGATCTCTCTACCTCCAAGAAGAAGTATACTTCTATAGTTGTGACATATTGTGACTATAAAACCCATAATTTTCATAGTGATTTCAGCCAAGTTATCTATCATACATCCCGGATACATCCAAACTAGGTAAATGGGGTTTATAAACCAACTTATAACTAGCTTCACTATGGTTATGGATGTTTATGGTAGATATTTATAAAGGATATTAAGTTGGCAAGCCTACTTGTGACCATAGACCCAGTACGCATTTTGCATCTTTTGTCAGGTCACGGCCTGCACCACCCTCCGTCGTTTGGCGCTGCTGGCCATGTCAGCCCTGGCTACGCCTGACACGGGGCGCCCGAGTTCGGCCCAGTGCTTGGCGCTGGTGCAGCGCTTGCCACGGGGCATGGCAAATACGGTGCAGGCGATGAAACAACACGAAGCTGGGGCCAAGCTCTGGTGCAGTGATTTTCTGAGATTTCCATGGGATTGTTGGTGGTTTGGGACATGGCTTTTATTTTCCATAATATATGGAAGAATCATCCTTCCCATTGACTTTCATATTTTTCACGATGGTTAAAACCACCAACCAGTCATGAGATTGTTGGATTGTTCGATGTTTTGAGATGTTTTAATGCAGTCCTTATATTTTTTGGCTGGCAAATGGGGATTTGCTAAGGGATTTCATGGGTTGCAGTAATGATGCAGCAATGTGTCAATGTTTTGCAATGGCATTTAGTAATTTAAACCAACCACACGGGTGAGATTGTCAAAGGATGAGATGGTGGTGAAATGGGAATCTTTAATGGCTCTTGATGGTGATAGAATGGTGGTTATGGGTGATAGAATTAAGGTTTAAGTAACCAACTGGGATGAACTTTTAGTCATTTTAGTTGTGTGTTTAATTGAGTGTTAATCGCGCTTTAATTTGGTTTAAGTGTGTTTTAGTGCTTTTTAAAAGAGTTTGATGGCATTGTATACTTGGCACATGGGAAATTACTAGGGTTTAACTAGCCAACTGGTGTGAAGTGATGATTTGAATGGGATTTAATGGTATTTAGTTTAATGGGGTTTGATATGGATTCGATTTCCAATGTTGGGAAGAAATTGCGAAGGCCGTTATCTAGGATTGGACATGTTTTTTTCCTCAAGGGGATGCAATGTGATGCCATGACCAGTGACTATCGGCCAATGATTTGGCCGCTGTAGGGTCAGGGTGCTGTGGCTGTTTGGTATCTCGGGTCGAGATGAGATGACCATCCCCTGTTGCCCAGATGTTTTTTCCAACCTGGCAACCGACAAAAACGTGTTTTTTGATAATCACATATATGTTTCCATGAACAGTTTGGATGTTCAGTTCCCATAATCATCGTAATCTTAAGATCATTTAAGATCTAATCTGAGTTAAGATTTAATCTTAGTTAAGTTGTTTTTTCAGTTTTTAATCTAAGTTTCATTCAGTATGATAACCATGAGTAAATTTAGATCCTGATTTTTTCAGTTGATGATATTAGTATTTTTCAGTATGATAACTCATCCACTAGATTAGATGACAGTATGACAACTTTTAATCTCTGAGTTTTGTTATATCCCTTCGGAGATTCCCATGAAATATATATATATATATATATATATATTTCCCATGATACACTTAAAGGAACCATGATATTTCCATTATATGTCCTATATGACAATGATATGTCCATATATCTAATAGCCATGGCCTTTTCACTGCAGCAACTATATAATCTCTGAGTTTTCATTTGGTGTATATATATATATATCTAGCATATCCATTAATATATTTTCCCATAAATAAATAAATAAATATAAATATATATATATATATATATATACCATGGTTCCATATGTCATGGTTCCATTATCCATATATCATTTTTCAGTCGATGACCGTGATCTGTGCGTTCGAACGTCGCTCCAAGGAACGCTCCGATGAGGTTCGTTCGGACGACGTTGGGGCGTTGGCGTTGGGGTTTTAAAAAACACATTTAGGAAGAAATAACCATTATATATATGTGTATATATAGTTATTGCATATATATATAGTATATATATATATATACATATAGTTTAACATTCATAAGTTTGGATATATAATTTGGACAACAAAGTATGATCAATTATGGTTGTACAACTGGTATTTAGTTATGTTTCCACTTCGTATTGCAAATGCTCCCCAAAGTAGAGCTGCATCTTTTTTGCTAAGCTAGTAAGCAACTGCTAAGATGTGCAGTTGTTCACTATGGTTCACTATTGTTTTTGGTTTCAGACAGATCAAAAATGGTTTTGAATTTGTTTATAACTAGGTTAAGTGTGGTTTTATGGAAACAGCTTTGGTATGGTAGATACATAGTTTTAAACAAACCTATATATATATATCACCTATAGATCACTAGGTTTTATGGATGTTTATGGTAGATATATAGTTGTTATCTATAGCTTTTTTGGGTCAAACCAACAGACGCCCTTGGCCAATGGCATCCCCAGGTGCAGCGGGCCGCAGTGCTGGCTCTACAAGCACCTTGGATGTCCCAAGGGATTCGCTGTGCTATTTAGATATAATGATATAACACCTCTATAGATATATAGTGAAATAATATTTTAACTATAGTGGTTATATATATATATATATAATTATTATAATTAGTGGTTACTCTGATAATGATATAACCCCTGTAGTTAATGGGATATGTTCAGATATAGATATAACACCTCTATAGAGATATAGTTCATGGGGATTAATGATGGATTAATGATGGATACCCTCTGGTAACGACTAACAGTTTGCTATTGAAAATGGCCATAGAACTAATCATTAGTTGATTTAGCTATCAAACATGGGGATTATCCAGTTCGCTATGTTAGTTTACCAGAGGGTAGAAAGCTACAACAAACATGGATGTTTTCGCAAGTAAATGGAGATAAATGAATGTTTTTTTGTTCATGGGCAATCCACAATTTTGGAACTTTTAATGGGATATGTTTGGGTGCTACTGGGGGCTGGACAGTGTGCTAATTTGGTTGAAATATGATAACGGAGGTTGAGTTCGTATTTATAGCTATATTTAAATTGGTTTTTAAACCACCTGATATCTGGGGGGCCCCATCTATGGAGTTCAGAAAATAACACACCATATTTTATGAGCTGTGCAAAGGGATACGCGGTAGCCTAACATACTGTGGATGGAAGAAATCCTGCACCAGTTGCTAGATGGTGTATCCCGTTATAGTCCCATTATTTACAGTGCTTCATGGTTACCAATAACTATTGGTGCAATATGATGCAATATGTATCTCCCAGTATATAGTTTACCCTTAAAAGTGTTGTACTAATAGTTGGTAACTACTAGTATCCCATAACTGTTAAACAGGTTAGTCTCCCTATTGGGGTTTCCAACCAGTAGCTACGGCCGATTGAGGCGCTCACACGTTTGTGCTCCAGCTTGGAGGGAGAAGATGTGGCCATCCAACGCGTAGTCTACGTGGCAGCAGGGATAAATGGCCTGGTCAAATTTTATCCTAGCAGGTGGACACATGGATGAATAGAGAAATTGGAGAAATAGGATATATATATATATAAATATATATATATAGTATACAATATTATTATGCCATCCATGTCTTTGTTTTCTTAGTATAGTATTTTTTTACTAGACGTGAAGTTATTTGCACGCATGTTCGGTTATCTTAAACGCAAGTAAAGGACAGAACTGTTCGTGGATTCATGACCCGCGATTGACCAATTTGTTGGAGGACCAGTGGTTTTGAACCACTTTGGGCTGAGAAAATTCACCTGCGATTGTCACTTTCCCGGTTTTCATGGTGGCTTTTACTTAAACAAAAAAACCGTAGACAATCATAGACATATCATATCATGAACCATAGGTTATAACCTAATCGTAAAGCATTTTGAGCGATTCCGAACTGGGGCACCACCTGGTATCCGTGCCAATAGATTATATTGTTCAGTGAAAAATGTGCGTTAGGAAACCACGCAAGCATTAGGGATTCAACATTGAAACATTGGGGGATATCCCGCTTTACCGGTGAATTTGCAGGGTGTACCTCTATATTTTCTGGGAAAGCAATGGTTCCCCGCATTCCCCCTCAGTTTTTCCAGCAAGGTGGTTCACACAAGTTATGTTTGTTGGTTTATAAACTATTCACTCTAGTTATACCTGCCAGTGAAGCTGATTATATATATATGTATGTGTGTTTTAAATCTTAAACTGTATTAGATAAGTAATAAACTTCCATTTCTTTGTTGGTGCCATACCTATGCAATTGTTGGTCAACCTGTCATTTCTGTTGCAGTCTACCACCATTTAGGGGTCGCCACCATGTAGCCCACGTATTCCCAATATCTCCACAACATGGTCGATACCCAGTATTTAGCCCATTCTGCAAAACCAGATCACTATCATGGGGATTTAGGGGGGCACCTTGAAGACTTCTTTACGGATACCCTCTGGTTGTTGAACGCAGCGAAGTGGAAAATCACCATAGTCTTTTTCTGAACGGTAAATCATCATTTCTATCAAACTTAGCCATGGCGATCTATACCATAGCTATGTAACAAATACATACAAATACTCAGAGGGTAAATGCACTAGGTTCAGGCGGTCAAGGCGTTATTTGGTAGGTTATGATAGGTTAAATAACCACAGGGTATCAATCCATTGAAATTGAATCTCCCATTAAAACCACATTAAAACCCTCCATTTATCGGGGACTTCCCAAAAAAAGGATCCCTGCGGAAGTCGCAAGCCATTGGCACATCCCCTGACAGGTAGACCTTGAGACTGTGCCCATCTTAGCGCGAGCCCTGCGGAACTATCCGGAGGACCGGCCTTTTTGATTGGTTTTTGCACAGGGCTTTGATATGTTACCCTCTGGTAAACTAACGCAACTATGGAAAATCATCATTTTTAATGGGTAAATCCACTATTTCTATGGCCATGTTCAATAGCTATGTCAAATTACTAGAAGGTAACAACCAAAAAGTTGGTGATGTAAGCAGCAACAAAGAGGGTTTTGTCCAACAATAATGGTGATTTAAATGTGATTGATGAGAGCTTTTAATTGGGAAAGATCGGTTTAACAGTTTAACATGTTTTTCCCGCCAACAAATAGGTGATTTAACCAGCAAAAATCGGACTTGTCGATAGTTATGGCTATTTTGATGAACATCCCATTTGATAATCCAAATCATATACCATCGAAAAAATGTTACTTGGATGCAATCATTCTTTCAACTTTATCTATATTAATCACTTGTCTATCTACTGTTTAATGAAACAGTTCCTATCCATTAACCAACCTATCATCAACCAGCACCCTTAGATGCCATCATGTCATAGAATTTAAGGTACTTGGATCCATACGGCAAATATTTATACGTAAGGAGATAGATAAATCTTGTTGGTTGTAAACACATGTTATTCCCATTGGTTGCCATTATATACGTTATACTCCTATTGTTAGGGGATTTCTCATTATATTATATATATATATATCAGTGGCCATTTCCGCTACCTAAACTGCAGGTGCTGTGCCATATACAGCCATACAGTATTTTGTGGGGATATTCCTTGAAATTCACCCCTGAATGATAGGCCTTATACTTGGTAGGTACCTCTCATTTAGGTCCCTGAAATGGCCATTGAAATTACTACTTATTCCATTTATGATTGACCTATAGATACTAACTATAGAAATTAACTATGGTTGCAGTTCATACTATGATTCTTAAACTCACTATATCTAATGTCAATTTTCAATCGATTTCCCATCAAACAAATGGAGTAATTATCCCATATCCTCAATTTTAATTACCCCATCCGTTCCTAGATAGATAGATATATATATATACACATACAAAAATATGTTTCCTTATCGCAAATTATTGTATATATATATATATATACTACACAATCCCATTTCCTGACTCCGAATTATCCCGTCCCTTCCAGGATCCTCAGATGCAAGAGCGTGGCCTGGACGTGCTGCGTCTGCTGAGCACCCGCCGCGACGCGGTGACGCAGCAGCTCTGCAGGGACGAAACGTTTGTGCCGGCGGCACCTTGGAAAAACCCAGTGGGAAAATGATGTCCATATCGGTTGCAAGAATGAGAAATTCATCAAAGATTGGATATAAACATAGTATGTTTTTACATATGAGATGGTATCTATCATTATCTATGTCTCTATGTTATATATATATAACTATAGGGTAATGACTATTGATATGTATTATGTATTCATATATTTGGTGTGTATACCATTGTATATATATATATATACATATATTATATACATATGGGATTTCTGATGATAATGGCCGTTGACTCGGCTATTTCTCGTGGATTTTCCCATGATTTTCCCCTTTCAATGCCAATTTCGTTCGGGGGATTTCCCGGCGATGACACGTTGCGACACGTTGCTTGCGGGTAGCAGAGGTGGTGGAAGCCATGAATCTGAACATCTCGAAACCCAAGATTCAGGAGATCGGCCGCAGTTGAACTAAATGGCTATGGCTATGTCCAACAATTTGTTTCTTGTTTTGGACTGTAAGGAACATTGTTGGTTAGACATCGCTGACATCACGGCTTTATTTCGGTGAAAAGTCACATGTCATCTGAAAGGAACTTCTCACCAAGGGTCTAATGGGGTATCCAAGGTTAGCAGTGTTGTTTGCTGAATCCGTATGTTTTTTGTTGTTCTTCATTCCGCCATTCCGCAGTGGTTTGGTTGATTTGGTTGATAGTGTGATCAAACCAATAGTAAAACATCCCCAATATCATAAAAACATATTTGATTAAGCATTCCCAAATGGTAGGTTTATGGCATTGGGCTTTCCACATGTTCATAATTTTATCAGATATAAATAAATAAATACACATATGGTCACACACACATACATATATATATAATTATATACATACATCCACATATTTCCAATTATAAACCCACGTGATATCCCATTACTTATAGAGGATTTTCTATCAACAAAATAGAATATTTGCGCCCATCGGACGGCGTCCAGGAGTATGGTTTATCTTTGCTTGCTGAAGTCGGATGGCAAGGTGCATGAATGTTGTAGCCACAAGTTGCCAGTGCGAAGATGGAATATCCTGTTGTAACTGTAGTGATTAATGATGGAAAATCGTGTTAAAAGTGGTTAGTAGTGAAAATCAATCCCTTCCAAACTGGTGATGAAGAGTAGTGGTTTATAATTTACACTAGTGGTTGATAGTGTTTAATAGTGGTGAAAAACTGGATTTTAATGGCATTTCATTGTGATTCGAGAGGACCTTCCCTTTCCCGGAATATTAAACACCCCGAGAAATCATGGAATTATAGGGGACTTACGCATTTGGAACCATCCAAAGGAAGTGTTTAATCTCCTAATACATCCTAGTACCAGTAATAGGAAAATGGGATTAGATTGCATTGCTTTTCAAGAGTTGGTTTGTTGGAAACGGTTCAACAATCCATTACCGAATCCAAAAATCCTGCACCATTTGGCAAATATTCAATCGAATCAACTTGAGTAAATTAAAAAAAACGACCGAAGCCTGTCCGACCGAGCCCTGGAATCATCCCCTTTTATGGCCAAACAATTCAGGTTAGGGACGTTAGGGAATTATGATAATTTACCCAGACATATCTATCAGAAACATTCAGAAACCAATTGTGGAAAGGCCACGGGTGAAATTCTACTCAGATGATTGAAGGCATATGGGGATGGCGAAAAATAAAAGGATTTTTCACAATCCAACTATATACATACACATACTGTAATCATATATCTATATATATTTATAAATTGATATGAGAACCCAATGGATCAAGATTGATATTCACTGATATTCATTGGCAAATATATATATATATATCGATCAATCTTAATATGGATATTTATAGGATATATATAGGATATTAAGATGGATATATCCTATAATGGAAGATATTTCGAAATGTGAATATCCCCAATATTGGGACATGCTTTGGATCAAGATCTGCTTCATCCCTTCGGGATCCAAAGGGACGAAAGTCCTGTCGGTCGGGAGGGGAAGTTCCTTCCGTGGATGAAAAATGGCCTTTCTGGGTGAAATGTTGAGTGTATTGGCTTAGATATATCCATTCTGTGTTACCTGCAGTTTTGTTGTTGACTTCCAGTTTTACAACTTCAGTTTGCTATTATTGGTTGCTTAAACCGGCTTAAACCGGCCATTGTTGTTTGGCAACGCCTTAATTTTGTGCCTTAATTCCACCATATATTCAATAGTTCATCCAGAACAATAGTGGTCTCGCAACTATGCTTCTTGGTTTATAAGCTCCATCAGCTATAAATATGATAAATACATACATAGAGATATATAGATACTATAAATACATATATATATATAAATTTATGAATATACCTTTTTATATTTGCCATTACCCCAAGTTGTCCTAGTTATTTGAAGCAACTTAGCAGGGGAAGCAGCTAACCTTGAGGCGTGGAGCAGCAGCGTGTGGTGCTGAGCCAACTGGGTGTGGAGACGGTGGTCAGGGCGCTGAAGGCCTTTCCTAACAGCATCTTGGAGCGCAGTGAGGGATCATCCCAGCCATTGAGTGATCATCTACCCCCATGAATATTTCACTATAGTCACTATGGTTTATAGGTGATGCAAAGGGGAAAATCACCATTTTTTGGGGGAAAATCACCATTTTTAATGGGTAAAACAACTAGTAAACTAACAGTTTGCTATTGAAAATTACGATGTTTAATGGGTAAATCAACTATTTCGACTGGGCCATTTTCAATAGCTTTTTGTATGTTTACCGGAGAGTATATACCAATACAATCCAATATACACATGTACCATCAATGGACTCTTGCCGTTCACCAACAAAAATCCGTTTCTCAATGGACAATTTGGATCATTTTTTTGTGATTTAACCATATCTAACCCGTAAAAACACGGAGGTTTTAATGGCAAATAGCCAGGAAATCATCTATAGTTGGTGGATGTTCTCTATATGTCACTGCGTTTTTTCTGGGGAATCGCCATCCAACATGATGATTTTTAGGGGGATAGACCTTGGTTTGTTGAGAAGAGGAGATTTGCTGTTTTCCCCATGGAGAAAGTACCGTACACAAATGACATGAAATGACATGAAAAGATACAGATGGGGCCATGACTCAATGACAAGCACTTTGTTCTGAAACGAAGGGTATAGTCGCTATATGTCGCTATAAGTTGATCCAAGGTACCTGGGTTACCTGGGGTGGGCATAAAAACCGTGTAGAGATAAATGCCGTTGGGTGGCTGTAAATATGTGTTACCACTGTCCTGTTTTCAGCTGCTTCAGTTTTCATCCGCTGGTTGAATGTTCTGGCTTTCCAGCCCTGGAACAACATTGAAATCCTGGCTTAAAATTGGGCATTCCAGAATTCGATGCATTGAAGTGAAATTTTATTTGACAATTTGAAAAACCTGTGGGCCCAACAAGTCTGCAGATACATGATTGTTATGACTAGTCATGCTGTTATCCCTCATTTGGGCCCTCATTTTTGTTGGTTGGAATATAGCTATCACTGGTGGTTGGACGACGTTTTTGTGTGTTTTTGTTAGGTGTTCTCGTGTTTCAGTTCGCTCAATGCCACGTTTTAGGGCATTGAAAATCCGCATGTTGATGGGTCATTTGACCACATTCATATGGGAACAACACACAGTTGGTGAAGTTGCTTAGTAAATCCCTTAAGTTGGATTATCTCATGTTATGGTTTCTAGCCCCAGTTACTAACCTTACTCCACATTCAACAACATACAGTCATACATTTTTCCAAGTAGCTTAGATCCTAAGCTTGTTTTCAGTTTTTTTCACCATTAAGGGGTTAAATCCTGTGGTTTCTTTTAAGAATCAGCATGTTTCGACCCCGGTCCCTGCGAAGCTCGCGCAGAGGTGGCGACGTGCAGACCGTGGGGCTTGCTGCGGTGCAAGCGATCACCAGCGACAACGAGGCGGGGCTGGGCTGGGACGGTGGTGCCCCCTATCGCCTTTGTTGCTTCACGGGTAGATTAGCCGTTGGAGGTATGGTATGCATATCTATATTATTCTACAATCCCTTCCTCCTAATACTAAACCCCCCCCCCCCTAATACAAAACACGGCAAGTAGTTTTTAGTATTAGGGGGGTATTTATTATTAGGGAACCAAAATATTGCCAAAAATGGCAGTTCGAAGCTTACCCCTAATACTAAATTAAAACCCTTAATAATAAAAACCATTTTTTCCGATCTCAAAATCAATTAAATTTCCTTATATAACGCAATTAAAATATTGCCAAAAATGGCAGTTCGAAGCTTACCCCTAATACTAAATTAAAACCCTTAATACTAAAAACCATTTTTTCCGATCTCAAAATCAATTAAATTTCCTTATATAACGCAATTAAAATATTGCCAAAAATGGCAGTTCGAAGCTTACCCCTAATACTAAATTAAAACCCTTAATAATAAAAACTATTTTTTCCGATCTCAAAATCAATTAAATTTCCTTATATAACGCAATTAAAATATTGCCAAAAATGGCAGTTCGAAGCTTACCCCTAATACTAAATTAAAACCCTTAATACTAAAAACTATTTTTTCCGATCTCAAAATCAATTAAATTTCCTTATATAACGCAATTAAAATATTGCCAAAAATGGCAGTTCGAAGCTTACCCCTAATACTAAATTAAAACCCTTAATACTAAAAACTATTTTTTCCGATCTCAAAATCAATTAAATTTCCTTATATAACGCAATTAAAATATTGCCAAAAATGGCAGTTCGAAGCTTACCCCTAATACTAAATTAAAACCCTTAATACTAAAAACTATTTTTTCCGATCTCAAAATCAATTAAATTTCCTTATATAACGCAATTAAAATATTGCCAAAAATGGCAGTTCGAAGCTTACCCCTAATACTAAATTAAAACCCTTAATACTAAAAACTATTTTTTCCGATCTCAAAATCAATTAAATTTCCTTATATAACGCAATTAAAATATTGCCAAAAATGGCAGTTCGAAGCTTACCCCTAATTGCTAGAGTAGCCAGGCAGCTTGGAGTGAGGGATTGGGACTAGGCCCCCCTAATACTAAACACCCCGGGGTGAACTAGTTTTTAGTATTAGGGGGGAGAACCCACAAATGGTAGGTTGATTTTTAAATTGTTTTTTAAAGGGGATCAATTAAAAGTCAAATTGGCCAAACTGAAATTTTCGGAAATTGGAGATGGATGCCTGTTTTTAGTATTAGGGGGACGTTTAGTATTAGGAGGAAGGGATTATTTTCATACTGTATGATATATATATATATATATTTACATATATGTGTATGTATATATTCATGTGTGTGTATTTAGCAGTTTATTTATTTATATAATGAGATGAATATATATGGATATATACATATATATATATATTTTTGTGTGTGTGTATGTGTATGTGTGTAGGGTGGGGCACTTGGTATGAAAATGGTGTCGCTTAAGCTGGTCACCAGTTTATTACGCCAACTCAGTCGACCTCAGTCGAGTCTGGTTGAGTCGCTTGAGTTCGCTGCATGACTATCTATCAATGGGGCTTTCACGGTGACTTGTTGACTTAAAGCAAACAAAAAATGGAGATGAAAAATCCATGGGAATAAAATCCAGGATCCTAAAATAGAGTCAAATAGATTGTACTTTTTATTTTTGGCCATATTTTTTTGGGATATTCCCTGAAATTTAGGCCTTATGTATGGTAGGTACCTCCAATGAATCGGTTCCGAAATGGCCATTGATAATATGTTTGTGGAGTATGAGCACAAGCAGCTGTTTGAGGCCTATGCATCGGAGTGTTTTTGAGGTAAAATGTTAAGAACTATTAAGAACTATGTAGAAGTATGTCATGTCTCCCAAGCTTAACTTTTTGCAATTTTGGGCTATCCAGGGAACTCCATTTGAAGGGAACTACATGGAACTACACTCTAGTAATCAGGCCTGGCATTGGAAAAGCCTCCATTTAGTTCGATGATTTTCTCAGCTATAAATCCCCAAAAAGCACTGGGATTGTCTATTGTCATGTTTGACACTGGAGGTTATCCCCATTGTCGGTTTATATCCCCACCATTATGCGCCATTTTTTTGGGGCGTTTGACTGTCCCATGTTTTTCCCCATGAAAACTGCCACTATCCGCCAATTAGTTGAGTTTGATTTTCCCAAGTTTTTTTCCCATGTTTTTCCCCATGAGAACTGCTGCTATCCGCCGATTCGCCCAAAGTTGTCCCAGGAATGCCGTGTGAAGTTCTTCTCCTTGTGTGAAATCCTGGAGATCGTCCTGCAGGACGGTGAACTTTGAAGGGTGGGATGATGGAATCTGTTTGTTCCGAACGTGGAAACTTGGGGAAAGCATGGGAAAACCATAATTTGATGGATAGTTTATAAAATACTTCAGCTGCTTGGTGGTTTCAAACATGAATTGTATTTTCCATTTCATATATGGGATGTCATCCTTCCCATTGACGAACTCATATTTTCAAGATGGTTGAAACATGTTGAAACCACCAACCAGTTAACGGTTAATGGTTAATAAGTGTTGAGAATGGTTCATGGTTAATGAATAAAATGGTTAGTTGATAATCCTCGTGGCAACGACGAATGCAGCGCCTCGTTGTGCTTGATCATGGGTCACCACATCAAGTGATATCCTTGTTACATGCTGTTCCTTTGATGTTCAATATGTTCAATGTTAGAGATCAGGCTGTTGATCCATAGCAAGCACTGGATATGTGCCAAAGCACCAGGTAGTATTATATATATAAACAGTTATATATGCGTTTGTTGATATCAAAAATCATGTGGTTTGTCCATGTTCAGTGCCAACATGCTTATTTTGTCAGAAATGCTTGGCGGCAAAATTCACAAAGTCTATCCCCATATTGGATAGTAGACAATGGTTTTCTGTCAACAAACTGCTTCCTTAAATCAACCCAATGATCGCATGATTTACAGTGGAATTGTTGTGGCCTTCAATATCTCCATTCTTTTGGTTTGCTACGTGCTCTTTTTGTTTGCATGGATCTGGCCCCCCAAACAAATCCAGTGTAGTGATAATTCCCACCATGTATTGGTAACATGGCAACTAAACGCAATACCAACCGGCTGAATGAAAATGAATCATAGAAGTTGCCAAGATCATAATGGGACCACAACATGAACATAAAAAAATCTAAACATGGTGTCCCTAAGTATTCCATTTAAAGTGTCTATTCCTATCATGTCTAAACGTTGTTGCCACCTTTTGTTCCTCGAGGCTATGGGGAACTTTCCATTGCTGGAAGGGGTGCAAGCGCTCCTCGGTGAACTCTATGGTTGGTTTACGGGGGATATAACGGGCTAGTATTCATGGGTTATATATATATACATAGTTTATATAAATATATATACATATATTTATATGTAGAGTTTATATCTGGTTGGTGGTTTGGAACATGAATTTTATTTGTCCATTCAGTTGGGTAATCATCCCAACTGACTAATATTTTTCAGAGGGGTTGAATCAACCACCAACCAGATATATATATATATATATTATATAGATGTTTATAGCATATACCCTCTGGTAAACGTTTACATAGCTATAGAAAGATCCGCCATTTTTAATGGGAAAACTCACTATAAATGGCAATTTTCAATAGCTATGTTTGTTTACCAGAGGGTGTATATATATATACACACAATTCTATGATATTTCTATATATGGTTACTGGGGTGAAACTAAGCACCAAACATAACTGGAGAGCCTCACCTCGTGTGGATGTTTTGTTGGACCTTGGAGTGACAATTCTGTGGCTTTCCCGGGTGACCAGGCTTTGCCGTTCGGAAATTGATTCGCATTCATGGTGGGTTGTCCAATTTTTTGTGATTTTGCTCGTAAAGTCTAGGATTTCACCGGTCGATGTCTAAATAACTAAGCTATGAACTGGTGAAGGTTCCCTGTTGGTGAAAGTTGGTGAAACCCAGATGTGTTCGGTTTTGCTCAGTCGAAACCCATCTCCCTGCGATTTCAATGTGGGACCCGTGGCGGCTTGTCATTTTCCCAGGTGTGAAATGCATTGTCTCACTTGAGTCCTCATTGTGTTGATCAGTGACGCATTTACCAAGACAAAAACACACGAAGCCCAATGTGTTTCCATGTTTGGTGAGTAAATTTTGCTTTAGACTTAGACCCATAATTTAGACCCCATAAACAGCACCATAACAACCCATTGACAATCCATTAAGAACTCATCAGCCCTTTGGTTGGTTAAATCCACCAAAGAAAAATCGTGTGAGAACACTTACCGTGAAAATTCCCTGTAAATCGAGGTTTTAATAGGCAAATTATCGATAAGTCATGATAAGTCTAAAAAAAGTGAGTGATTTTCCATGCCACGTGCTGGGTTTTGTTCGCTTGCTTGTTAAAGGTCCCCATGAATCTTGGCTTCTCCCATTGATTTCGGTGCCTGCAGGTACGATCAGACAAAACCACCTAAAACCTTCTATGATTGCTTGAATTCCTAGCAAAAATGCCATGAAAATCCCAAGTTGGGGTAGCATTGAACTGGCCATTTCAGGATTCACCATCCAAAAATCATAAAACCACCATTTCCCTATAGGATTTACCATCCAAAATCATCCCCAGGCGTTGTTTTTTCCACTTCCAAACGGGGCCCCTGCATCCAGGTTCGGCTGCGCGGCGTTGATCTCCTTGGCCCACAGCCGGTCGGAACGCGTCGGCGCGCTGGCAGATCTCAACGGCGCCCTGGGATGATCGATGTTTTCCGAGGGATTCTAACGGTGGCTTCATGGTGGCTTAATGGTGGTTAGTAATGGCTAGTAGTGGTTAGTAGTGGTTAGTGGTGTTTTATAGTAGTGGTTAGTGGTGTTTTATAATGGTTAATAATGGTTTTTGGTTTTTAATAATGATATGTTTGTGGTTATTGGTGGCTTATAGTGGTTGATAGAGTGGTTGGTAGTGGGTGCCAGTATGGTTAGTGGCGGCTACTATCCTGTGCCATCATGGGTATGTGAACGCCTAGGAGCCTAGGAGGCTTTGCAACGGTCAACTAGTTCAGGGTGGAACAAAACAGCCAACCTCCCCATTTTCTACTGGACAGCCCTATGATAGCGGTGAATATCCAGTGGATAAGCCCCAAAAAAAGTGGTGGGTTGAATATCCATGAGAACACAGATGTGGAAGTCCTACATTCAACTAACATGTAAATAATGGGTGGGATCAGGATCTCCATATCAGTCCACATCTATATGTTAGTTTTCTGGAGGGTGATCTCATACTTCCAAGTTCAGATTCAGTTTGCATATGAAACACTCGGCAGTGACTAAGGCTTTGACTAGGCGATTTGAACATACCTTGGAAGCATACCCCAAGCCCCTCCAACACCTCAAGTGAACGGAATCCGTTCATAAACCCTCTCACCATGGGATGGGGTATGCTCCAGGGATTTGTTGGATTTGTCGAATGGATTGAAGTTTTTTCCAAGACATGGAGAACTAGGGATATAAACTACGTATAACTAGATTCGTAGCTGGTATTGAACTATAAGCACCTTAATAACCTAGGTGGAAAGAACACTATAGCATACTATAGCAACTCAGTAATGCCTCACTGGCTGCTATAGCAGTAAATAGCTACATTTTTTACATCAGGAAAATGGTATAGATTCGGATGGATCCAAGCATTAAACATGGGGGTGGTAAAAGGATAGCACACGGAAGGCAAGAACTTGAGACCAGGGGCTCGAACAAAATGGCCAACGATTTATTCTTAACTGTTTGCAAATCTTATCTTAAATTCACTTATTAGGGGCCCACAAAATGGGGTATGACTATGTATGACTATAGTAGCTGAGAACTGTTCCAGCAAACCTTTTGCTGATACCATGGATAGAATGCCTAGCATTTGTTTGGCTGAATCATCAAAAACTCTGGTATATTTTTGAGGAGCAGAATGGTCGTTCGTGAATGTTCGCCTGGTTGAATGATTTTTCCGCTGTCACAGACCGAGGAACACATGATCTCCCACAAACGACATGTCCCAACTGGATTTCCAGTAATTGGCATCCAAGATTACCATATTCATGAGTGATGTAAATATGCTCATGTTTTCCCAAAAGCCAGTTGTACATCGATTTTGCCTACGGACAATCCGCCGATCTCCGGCTCCAAGGTGCTTCAATGGCTGAAAGTGCCATGGTGGGACATCCCAAATCTCAGCGAGTGCTTGTGCCTTGGCGTGTTAGGCCTAGCACAAGGTGCTTGTGCACCCCGAAGTGCCTTAGATATCAGTTTGGTTAGATTGAGGTCCTTAAGTCATTAACTAAAATTCACTATAGGAATAGCCCAATGGAAAACCAGACCCAGCCCAGTTCCTAACCACTTCACAGTTATGGCCATTTATTAGTTATGACTGGTTATTTCTATGGAAAATTATGCATGCTATAAATGGGGTGATTTCAGTACACACATAACTGGTATAACTTGGGCCATAACTGCAGGAGCCAATCAAAGTGGTTGGAGCGATTTTTCTTCCCTCCATTCAAGTAGCATTTGAATGATATAATTTAATATATATATATATATTATGGATGTAGAAGCCCGTGTGCAAGTTGTAGAAAATACACAACTTAATATTTTGCAATCTCTTGCAAAAGGCACATCCGCTGAAAATTGAGCAGTGTCAACCACGGTGGATATCATGGAAGCAGCCAAATATATAGACTGATGTATATATATATAAATATGTGCATATATCCTCAAGGGCCGACGCTCAGGTCACCTAAAGTTACATGCGGTGTTTAGTTTCTTTGGCCTAGTGTAAGCGTTATCTATGCAGTTGGTTTAGGCTTGGTTTAGGATTCAAGACAATGTCAAAGCGGAATTCACAAATTGAAGATTGCTTCAAGATGGTGCCCCTAGTCTATAGCCCCCTAGCAATCCTGAATACATTCTGAGGATGGATCTGGATTGAAAACCCATCATGGGGACGGATCGGCCCCAAGTCCATTCTGAGAATGGTCTTTCGTTTGGTGGTATTTTTGGGCTACCCCTGGGAACCAGCTTACCCCAAATTCAGCACCCACTTTTACCCTGATGGTCTCGATTTGAAGCCATCGGTGGCAGATTTCAGCCACATGCATATTGATGCAACCTCAGTTGTCAAGATAAATCATTAATCAATGGATGAAAGTGGGAGGAATGATTGAAAAAAAAACAAACATAACCATGTGGACGTATTTCAGTGGCCACACCAGGGTTGAAAAAACAAAAACATATTCAAAGAAATGCAAGTAACCCCATGAAGAAGCGAGGAAGCACCATTTGCTCTAAGTAGTTCTTCGAACATGCCACTGCCAGATCAGATATGCGACCCACGAAGTCTTCACTCTTGAATCCATGGTACCAGCGGCTGTTTTCTCCTAGGCTTTGATCATTCAAAATTCAAAATTTTGATCCATCAACAGTGCCCAAATTGTTTTATGGAAAGGAATAACTTTGCTGCGTTGAAAACCAAGCATCTTTCAACATCTTCATAGTGCAAGATCTCTTGCCATGCCTAGCTAGTGCTTGCAAACAATGGCAAGCAAATTTAATCGAACCATACCATTCAAGAACAAAATGCTGGGATGTGGTTATGGCTCAAAATTTGGCTATCCACTCACCCACCACTAGTAGTCATATTTAGGAGGAAGGATAACCCCCAAAAAAGAAAAGTTGGTATAAATCCATTGCCTAGGTGCATGGAATTTGGGTTTGCCCGGCCATCGCAACTCACCCTCCTCCACAGCCAGCTGAGCTACAGTAGTTGACAATACGCTTGCATACATCGATCCTGAGCTTGGAGATGACGCCAATAGGCCTGGTTCATAATGCCCCCAGTACATTGCACACTACAGGGTATTCAAGAAAAGTAGCAGCCAAGATGGTATCCTTATTCAACCTATCATCAATGATTGGTTGAATAAGAATCATGGGAACAAAGAAAAAATGCCAAGGGATTTGACTAGCATCGCAGTGAAGACGGAAAACTGTAACATCAGCATCTGTCAAGTAGTGACCCGTCTAATCATGGGTATCAAACCACTGGGCCATATGATACCTCATGTTTGGTGTCCCCTAGTATGAAAATCAATGGATGCATTATTAACTCACCAGGGTTTCTGGATCAAGACAAACTCACATAGAAAAAAACAACATAATCTATACCAGATCAAGAAACACACAACGGGTTGTAAGGCACAACTTGTCATCCCCAGGAGTAGCCAGCTGAACCAACTCATCAGCCAACCAACCGCATACCACTCTGGCCTTGGACAATGCTGCGATCAGCGTTTAACATGTTTCCAAGTGAATCCAAAGAATAATTCATTGACCATTCAGCGACCTCAAGATGGAGCTGGCAGATTTATTGACAGGCTGCCCTGCAGTTGATGGACGGCAACGGCAGATATTCCTATTTGACAGTGCTCCCCAGCTACCCCCTGGACCCCCCCTGGACCCCCCCTGGACCCCCCCCGGGACCCCCCCTGGACCCCCCCTGGTGAGTTTAACGGAGTTTAACGCAGTTTAACGCCGAAACCTTTCCCAGGATAGACTTTAACGCAATTTAACGGGATTTTAACGCCATTTTAAGGCAGCCCCGGACCCGGCTGGCCTCCAAATCCACCTTTCAAATCCAAGTCTTCTGGCCAAGCGCACTTCCAAATTGGACCAAAATCCCGCAGATTCCAATGAAAATGAAGGGAAACATGTGAAAAACCACGTGTTTTTCATGGTGTTTGATCAGAATCCTCAAAAACCACGTGCTTTCTTCACATTTTGATAGGAAATCAATCAGAGCTTAGTGAAAACACACCAAAAACACGTGTTTTTTTCGAATTCTATCATAGGTTCCACCCCAAACCATGGAAAAACACGTGTTTTTGTAACTTCTATGAACTTGCATCACCCAAATGTGCCTAAGACCATGGAAAAACACGTTTTTTTGTTGCTTCTATGGAATGGCATCCGTCACATGTGCCTAAAACCATGGAAAAACACGTGTTTTTTGCAACTTCTATGAAAGGGTATCACCCAGATGTTGTTAAAACCATGGAAAAACACGTGTTTTTGGCTACTTGTATCAAAGGGTACCATCAAGATGTGGTCAAATCCATGGAAAAAAACACGTGTGTTTGCTACATTTATCAAAGGGTATCACCCAAATGTGGTCAAATCCATAGAAAAACACGTGTTTTTTGCTACGTATATCAAGGGTGTCACCCAAATGTGGTTAAACCATAGAAAAACACGTGTTTTTGGCTACGTTTATCAAGGGTGTCGCCCAAATGTGGTTAAAACCCTACAAAAAACGCGTGTTTTTTGATACTTTTATCAAAGGGTACCATCCACATGTGGTCAAATCCATGGAAAAACACGTGTTTTTCTATACTTTTATCAAAGGGTACCACCCAGATGTAATCCAAACCCCAACGACTTAAAAGTTCAAACTTTTCTTACTGAATCTAATGGGATAGGCAACCCCCCAGGAGGCCCCCCTGGCCCCAACATGGCCCAAAGACGGCGTGTTCATCTGAGCCCTGGCACTAGGGCTCCAATGAACACGCCGTTCTCGGCCCAACATAGGCTCAACATAGGCTCAAGATTGTTTTTCGAGAGCCCAACATGGTGCAACATGGGCCCAAAAACACGTGTTTTTGGCTACTTTTATCAAAGGGTACCATCCAGATGTGGTCAAATCCATGGAAAAAACAC